CCTTTCCTCCTTCCTGAAGCTTTCCTTTCTTTCACTAAGATTAATCCCTCCCTCCAACCATGTCAGTGACCCTTTCCTTATGTCCCAAACTGTAGCACTCATCCTCCCAAACCTGCTTCTCCTCTAATGGTCCTTTTATCAGCAAGTCAGAACTCTGGAAGTTATCCTTGACTCCTTCCTCTCTAACTACCAAGTCTAGTGTATTCCACACCCTAAATCTCTCCTGAATCTATGTGATTATCTACCTCCTCTGTCACCACCATTCCTAATTATTACCCATTACCTACTAAAAGAGCTTGACTGATCTCTTAACCTCCAAGTTTACTTCTAATTTGTTATCACTTTGTAGCTGCCAATTATCCTCCAAAATGCTGTTCTGCTATGTTACTTCCTCAATTTTATTGCCTATGGAATAAAATGCAAATGTTAATTGGTACAGCCACTATGGAAAACAGTATGGAGGTTCCTTGAAAAATTATGGTTCCTAAGGCCTTCTCATGATTTGCTCCTGCTTACCTTTCTAATTTATTTCTCATTACTCCACTCTCTGCATGCTCTGCATCAAGCATTTCCAGACATTCATACACCAATTTCCTTTGCCTTGGGAGACCATCCACCCTCACCTCAACATTTTCCTGCCTAAGTCCACCTTGAACTTTAAATGTCACTTCCTTTTGGAGGCCTTTCCTGACTTTCTAGACTGGATTTGGTCTCTGTACTATGAGCTTCCCAAACATAACATTCATTGTTCTTTGTTAATTTATCTGTATGCAGAGAAAGTAGGGCTCTGTTGATTCACTGTTGTGGCTCCAATACGTAGCAGAGTAACTCTGCAGGAATCAAAAAATTTTTTGATTGAATAAAAAAATATAATACATGTAAAAATAAGCACAAAAGTAAAAATAAACGATTTGTTAGAAGAGATGTGCTCCTTTACCTGGAATGGTATAGATAAAGAGTTCCCATAGATTTTCTTTAAACTTAGAAGTGCAACATTTCAGGGCTTTCATAGGTAAGAATGAAACAGATACTTTTAAGTCATATTAGAAGCTGTTACAATAGGAGACAAATTGTGATTTGATGGCTCTTGTGTCTTTTAGATTGCTTCCAGGCCAGAAAGGTGAAGGGGAAATTTTATTACTCCTGGAGACATCAATGGCCTGTATGAAAAGAGTAGTCGCACCAGAAAAACTAGCCTAAAGGCAAGATGGATAAACAAGAAATGTGTCAAGAAGGCTTTGAGTATAACACACACATACACAGAAACATATTTATATATACAATAAAAAACTTATTATCACTAAAAAAATTATAACAGGAGGGAGGAAAAACTATAAATATCCCGAGAAAGATGACTTCAATATATGCTATTTAAATTTTTTTCTTAAAGAAAAAAATGTCAGAGCAGCTGGCCTTACAATAATGAGAAAAGGTATTGATAACTAGTCTGTAAAAAAAAAAGTGCCTGAAATGTTTATTCAAGGCTGGTATTCATTCTTTATTCAGAGCCTGGTTGTCAGGCTTGAAAAGCAACAGAGATTACTGATGCAGTCTACAGCCAAGTCATGGAGAACATAAATAAATTTGTTCTTAGTACGGCAATGAATAACGGCAGGAAAAGACTTACTCTTTGTATTACCAGGGTCCTATGCCTTCTGTTTGGCTTTAGTAGGATGATTTCTATTTACTACATTTATATGACATAATTTAGAAATACTGTAATTTGATATTTCATTATCATTAGTTCAACCCAGCAAAGCAATCTTTAAATCTGGTATTACATGAATAATATCTTGTGCTGGTTTGTTTGTATTTTTAAATTAAGCAAATAACACAGAAATCATGAATTTCAAAAGGAATTTCTTCAACTATTTAGGAGCATTAAGTAATTTATGTCTCCGGTTTAGGATGGTAGTTTTTAAAATAGCTGGGGTCAAGATAAATATAGTAAAGTGAAAATGAAAAACTAAACAGCAGTAGTATGTTTACTAAGGGCAAAGATAAAGCTATGTTTTGAAAGTAATTCATGAGAATTCCCGTTAAAATATTTGATCAATTCTGCTCTGTCTTAAAAAATGACTTTATTAATAACTTTCACCTTTTGGCCCAAAGAGCCAATTCTTAAATGTCTGTCTGTCTCTCTCTCTCTCTCTCACACACACATACACAGTTTTGATGAAATTAGGACTAGCTTTAGGTCAACTGTGTTACTGAGATTAGTGGGGAAAATTTTTTTTAAACAGGAGCAGTGTCTAGGTAAGTATGATCTTAAGGGCCCTAGTAGACAGAATAAAGAGGAGTATTTATGAACTCACTTACAAGAATAGATATTGTGAGTTGCCTATTTAAGACAAGGTCCTGGCTGTCTTGGGAATAATCTATTTGACAAGCTCGAATAGGTAATAATTGTGATGCAAAATGGCATAAGTATTGAAGAAAGCTTATAATAAAAGAATTAGATAAATTAAAAAGGAATATGAACTCCTGTGGTGGTGGTCTGAGAAGATTGCATAAAAATAGGGATGTGAGATGGTTGTTGAAGAAAGGGCAGGGCTTTCTAAAAGTGGAAATAAAGGGAGGTGTTTCATACTTTACGGAACACAATCCAAACTTACCTTTTAATAAATATTTATAAGGTGAAAATGCTTCAGAAGTCATCTCCTCTGTCCAAATAGATGATAAATTATGAAAAGCAGTGGTGATAGCCTAAAATGTCTTTAAAATCTGCAGCTTACAAATATCCCTTACTTAGTTAAAGTTATAGACACACTCCCTCTCCCTCCACAGTGACTGAATTTCATCCCAAACACTATTGTGGCTGCTAGTTATTTCCCTCCCCTCCTTCTGTCCCATTATTGGGTAAGGGAAGGAAGTGTTGCATATACAAACAAAAAAGCCAGACGGATTGACAGTTTCAAGGAAGTAGAGCATACACAGAAGAGCAAATAATTTAAAGACTAAAGAGTGTGTAATATAGAGGTAAATGGGTGACTTCAAGCAAAACAAGCGAAGCCAATTATTTTCCCATAACACACAATTCATTTTTTCTGACTCTATGCTTATGCATGACCTTGTGGAATACTAACATAATTAAATGAGAAAAAGATAGCTATTATCCTGTAACTTTCATTCTTCCTAGGATATTAAAATTGATCACTGAGTTATTTGATACAAAATTCTCTCAGCAAGTTAGTTTGAATATCTAGACTGAAAGGTGATTACAATTTTAAAATAAATACTACATACATGGCCTCTTCAGTCTATGGGTACTTTTTTTTTTTTAAATGCCTACAGCACTTGGTCTTCCTAGGTGGCCTCCCATCCAAGTACTAACCAGGCCCAGCCCTGCTTAGCTTCTGAGATCAGTCATCGGGCTTGTTCAGTGTGGCATGGTCGTAGACCATGGACCATGGCTCCACTGGGGCATGAATCCAGGACCTTTGGCGTGTAAAGCAGACATGCTAACCGCTACACTATGGAACCACATCCTGTGAGTACTTTTTATCTTCCAGGAATGTTGTTATAAACAAACAAAAATCTATCATAAACATTTAAGCTTTACAATAAATCCATTATATTATTAAGAAATCTTCAACCATTTCTGTTTCTATCACTCTTGACTGCTTCAACTCCTGTACCATTGTATTTTAGTTATTTAGCTACAAAAATTGAGCTTTATAAAAACTATCTACTAGCTACCGCCATTTGATCATAAGCATACTTAGAAAGACAAACTTTAAATTATGCCATATTTTCTTTTTATTATTATTATTTATTTATTATGGTGACATTGAATGAAATCCAATAAGTTTCAAATGTACAATTCAACAGTAAGTCATATATATATTTCGGTGTGTGCTCACCGCTCATAGTTAGATTTCTTTCTGTCACCATATATTTGATCCTTTTTACCCCATTTACTGTACCATATTTTCTTGGGTTGACTCCAACGCTATACAGTTTTGTAAGGTTGGAAAGAAACTTCAAACTGCTATGCAACCTCTTGTTCCAGGCAAAGCTACCAAGAGTGAAGCAAATCTTTTTGTTTATAAGAGCCATTAGGAAATGTTCTTTTTTATATCCAAACTAGATTGCTACAATAGAACATAGTTTATCATTCCATTATACAAGAATTATAAATTATTACTTACCTGCCTCAATAACTCTCATATAATCAAGTTACCAATGACAGCATGTATCAGCTATCTATTGCCACAATAATGCTATGTGAAATAATCCACCTCAAAACTTAGGTGTAAGACAATAAGCATTTAGTTTTGCTCAAGAGTTTATAGGTCAGCTGAACAGTTCTCCTGGGCTAGGCTGATCTTAGCTAGGCTTGCTCATCTGAATACAGTCAGGCAGCAGGCGAGCTTGCACTTGGCTGGTCTAAGATGGCCTCGCTTGGGATAGCTGTCTGCATGAGGTTTCTGATCTTCTAGCAGGCTGGCCTGAGCCTATGTTTGCCATATGCTATTGGCCAAAACAAGTCTCAGATTCAAGGGGGTGGATTAGAACCCATCTCTTGATGGGAGGAGGTGGAAATTGCATTGCAAAAGGGGCAGACAGAGGCAAAGATAAAGACTGCAGTCATTTTTACAGTCAAGCTACCAAAACCTCATTTAGTCTTTTCTTCACACTAAATTATCTGATATTAATGCTGCTTTCTCTCCACCCCTGAATCTTAATACTGCAAAATATAATTTCAAGAATGTCGTTAAAGTGAAGTCAAGGTGTGCTGAAATTAGGACGTTGCGATTTTAATTTAATTTAATTTTAATTTAAGAACATAAGTTGAAAAATACCGATTTTGTGATCTTAAGGAAAAAATGATACAAAAGTTATCCTACACACAAGACAATATGAACCTGTAAAATTAAAAGAAAATTACATTGCATAAGTGGGTTTTTAAATCTTCATTTACTATCTATATATTAAAAGCCTACTTTATATTATTTGATAAACTTTCACAAAGTTTTATTCAAAGATCAACACCCATGAACCTTTAAAATGAACCATTTATTAAATCAGACTGTTATTCTTAACAGTTATGTAAGTTACATGTATGTTTATGTCAGAGTATTTTACATGGAAATCTTTTAAACTCTTATAGGCAAGCAAAATCGTACCACACAATATATAAGGGCGAAGAGAGTACTGCTAAACATTCAAATAAGGCAAGTATTTAAAAACAACAAAACAATAATTAAAAAAAATTCAAGCATTCCTTTTAAGAGAATTCAATACTACAAGCTAACTGTACTTTCGAGTGTATTCATATAATCAAGGCAGTGTTTCTTCTTTTAAAACATCAAGAAATGGAATAAGGCTCATTAATAGATACAGCTGCCCTCAAGATTTCAATCTCAGTTGCTTTCTTTAAATTAAAATTCACAAAGTGCACAATTAAGATATATCAAAAAACTGAATCTGCTACTCTAACAACAGCTGTCCATGCTTAATACTTAGTGGTTTATTTGACCAAATTATGTCTTTTCAGGGAAAAATAAAAAAGATAAGCCACTGTAAAACATTTAGTTTGAAATGTATGCTAATATTTTCCTTAGAAATCAAAAATATTATGGAGGAAAAAGGGTTATTTATCTTAAGGAAAAGAAAGCAAAACACTGGAATGACCAAACATTTTCAAAGAACAAGCACCACAAAGGACATCTGCATTCAGTTTTGTAATATTTATCAATGCATTTTTCTTACTCCAACCAATCTACTTCATCAAATTCTGAATCATCTTCTGAATCACTATATTCCACAGCAATACGACGGGACAGGATGGTGGCAACGTCATTTTCAATGCGTTCATGTTTAGCTTCCTGTTCACGCTGCTCTTCTACTTTTCGTAGCTGAATACCTGATACGGTAAATCCAAACCATTTGTTGTAAACCAAAATACTAAATACTAAATATTATTAATCTTTCTGGAATAAAATCAAATACACATGAGAAATACTAATAGAAGAATAAAAAGCAAGATCTATTAAAAAGAATTTGAAGGAATCATATTTAGAGAGATGTTAATTTCTTCATTATGTTATCATCTGTGATAATAGCTGGTGAAACTTACCAGACATCTCAGTGGATATCTACAGTTTATTAAGCCATTATGATCTATTGTGCCTCCCTGCTCACCAAATCCTAAAAAGTTAACCAGATGATACTTTTCTTCTGTTACCTCTATAGTCAAATAAAATAAACATTTGTTGAATATATTTTCTGTGGCTTTATTATCCCTGGTACTTGAAAAGAAGGCACTCTTATTCATTCTATCTTGTTAGTACCTGGCATATATTCTTAGGAAATGTTGGCTGCATTAATGAATTAATATGTCTTTTTTTTGTTACTAAGAAACTTAAAGACATCTGGTACATCAAGTGTCACTGGGAGCAAGTATCATTGAGACATCAAAGGGACAACCTTAACTCTGAAGAAAATATAATTTCTAAGGAGTTAATATACATATTAAACATAACATAAAGGGCTTTAATTTTCTGTAACGTTTAAGTTTGCTACTTTTAATTTCTCACTTATTCAATAAACATTTAAGAATCCTTACTAAGTATGAAAATAAAATGATTAAATGTGATATATTTTCTTGAAAATGATTTAAAATATAAGTGAAACACAGCTTTACTTTCTAAAGACCATTTGAACAAAACACGATCATTTAAAATCTTATAAATGAGGAAAATACTATTTTTTCAAATATTTAGAAAGTTTCTAAACCTACAATAGCAATGCTTTTAATGGCCCTGAGAAAATTACCTTTTCGTATTGCTTCCAGAAGTACACTCCTGGCATCACTGATTACGGGTAGGGTTGATGGATGACGCTTTGGCTCAGAAGCAGGTATAACTTGTGATGGAGGAGATGGAGGCATTAATGGAATATGGGGACCTGGGGCAGTAGATGGAGTTGGATGTAGCCCAGAGGGAGGATGAGCAAGAGCTGCAACTGTGACAGGTGATGATGGTCGAATGCCAGGTGGAGGCAAAGGAGGCGGTGGTGGGGGTGGAGGCAGACCCTGGACTTCACCTTGTGGGAGTGGATGAACTGGTACAGTCTCACATACTGGGGCAGCTCTAGCTACCGGTGGAGAGGGCTGTACTAGAGGAGGTGCAATTGGAGGAGGAGCTGGGTGAAGAACTCCAGGGGCAATCTGAAGAGGAGCTGGAGGTGGTGGTACTGCTGGAGCTTGCAAAGCAGTGGTTGGAGGTGGAGGTGGGGGAGGTACTGGTGGGGGAGGAGTTGAAGTCATTGAAGCTCTTAATGAAGAAGTTGACAAGGCAGATGGAAGAGGTGGTGGAGGAGGTGGGGGGGTGGGGCTCACAAACACAGGTGTCCTGCCTGTAGCTGGTGACTGAGGGCGAGTTTCTATCAAACCTGTAGCAGAACTGAAATGATAAAGAGATCCTATCAAGTTATTAAAAGAGAAAAAATTAACCATACAATATATAAATGACTATCAGTAATTATATCAAGGTAGATTCATTAACATGTTCCTATAAAAACTAAAAAATTTTCCAGCAATATTTAGAATGAAATGAGAACTAAAAGTATTCCAACAAAATAATTTTTAGGTGGTACTTTGGTTTGTAAAATTCTAAATGATCTTATCCCTGCATGTAACTTTCCTATCAACTCAAGCATTTTATGCTTACTTTGATAAGTAAAATGCTCAGTTTTACACTGTGATGTGCGTCTTTGTAATGACTCAACATTTATCATATTATGATATTTGTAGCAATACCTATGGCCAATACAATGCTGTATTTATACCGAAGCTATTAAGACTTACCATATGTCATTTCAGTTAAATCAATGAAAACTAATTATAAACTACAAAAGGAAATTTATGGACCTCTTCCTCCCTGAGGATGAAACATCAAATGAGTCGAAGACAGAAGGTTGATATTTTTAACTGAAAATTGTAAAACTTATCTGTTTCTCTTTAAAAATTTGTAATTTGGATAACAATGGACAGAATTAAACTTCAGAACAGCTTTACCAAAATATTATTATGAAGAATTGTCTATTCTTTCCCAAATTCTTAGAATATTTCCCCTAATATCAAATTAACATTTATAACCAACACCTTCGGTTCCCATTTTTTAGTCTCTTGCATCATAACAAAAACTCTTAATTTATATTAATACAGAGTTAAGTCCTCTCTTTACACTGTCAATAGGTTCTATGACCTGAAGTGAAATGACATAGTGAAACCAATTTCACCAAAGGCTAACTGATATAAACAATAGTTAAGTTCGTACGGCATCTAATCAATGTTAAATGATGCTGAACAAAATGACATTATTCAAGGACCTGCTATACTGCACATTATGTGCTTGATAACAAAACTATAGGAAAATGAAATGCACTTTAATATTTAAAGTAAATTCTCATTAGTTAAATTTTCCCAAGAGAATGCATGTTTCAGCTATTATCAGAGGATGGAAAATTACCTCCCAGAGGCCAAATCTGACCCACTCCCTGTTTTTGTAAATGAAGTTTTGTTGAAACATAAACATATCCATTTAATTACACGTGTAGTCCATGACTGCCTTCATGCAACAACGGCAGAGTTGAATAGTTGTGACAGAAACATATATCCACAAGGCCTAAAATATTTACTATCTGTGCCTTAAAGAAAAAAGCTACTAATCCTTGAGAGAACACATCAAAACTTGTTTGAACATACCTGATACAGGTGGGTATGGGTTTTGCATCTCCTGATCCATGCATTGGTGGAGGTGGAGGTGGTTCATGTGGTCTGACTAAGACTCTTTCCTCAGCTCTAGTCAGAAGTTCACTCATCTGACTAAATGGCAAGGCAGAAAGTGAATAAGATCCATCCATATGATCCACATATGTCTGAGGTCTAAAAAAATAGACAGTATCAGTATATTTTTCTTGAATTATTGGTGGAGTAAAGTGCTACACATGAGATATTTAAAGTTTATCTAGTCTTTGAATGTCAATATTTTAACAACTTTTAGGAAACTTATTTCAGATACTTATTACATCGTCCTGTTTTTAAAACAAAAAATGCTGCTTAAAATGAAAACTTTCCTTGCTGATTCAGGTTCATTTTGGTGACCTTCAGTTATTATTTTATAATATAATACTAATTCAATTCACAAGGATGAAAAGTATTACATATATAATCTTATGAACATGAACATAATTAACTTCTAGCAAATTTCATTCAAAGTTATCTGCCTCTATTTTCTTTACAATAAGATGCCACTGACAAAAGCTAGAATATAAAAGCTGGAATTTCCTACCACAAGGATATCTTGTTGTTCTTAAACGTAAATGACTTCTAAATGTTTTATACCCAAGGAGAAAGGCCTCCCTGATACAAGCACCACAGAGATGGTTAACTACATTGTTTTTGTCTTTTCAGTGTTTTCAAAGGTGCTACGTACGTACGCATAAAATAGAATGCTAAGTAACATCGCAACTTGTGACTTAAGCAAATTTAAGCAAAATTTTAGATACCTTGAGCATGTAGACATATTTACTGATTGTAGTGCATGCTGAGAACAAAGTTAGATTTAAAAAATGTGCACAAAGCAAGTCAGAAGTATTGTATTTACACTACTAGGTCAGCTAAATACCTCAATTGCTTAACAGGAGTTGAAATAAATATTTGCTATAGATGATTAACTTTTTTAAAAAAAAACTCAATTCTTTCAGTCTCTTTCTGTAATGCATATAGTCTTACATGTATATTACTCCTAAATAGGCTAAAATATTTCACTTATGGCCTAAATTTACATGTATTATTCAAGAAAAAACCTTAAACTTTTTTTCATTCAAAAATCAATAACTATAATATATATAATAATAACTACAATCAATTAACTATATGCAAATAAATTTCTCCACAGGAGATGCTAGTATGTTTGCTAAGGTAGCGTGTTGCTTATATAGGGCCCCTAGATCCTGAGAAAGGAAAAGAACCTATTCTTTATTTTTGCAAAAGGGGACAAGTAATTTTGTTTGAAAGTCCTGAGGTTGGAGATGTGATACAGAAAGGAAGTCGGGAAAAAGAAAAAGGACAAAATATAACCCTTTCTCAACTCCTATTTTATATATATATATAT